TGGTGTAGTGGTTAAGGCACTGGTCACTCCCACATGGCCAAACACGGTGTCCACATGGCCAAACATGGGTTGAGTCCCGGATGGTGGCATGCTTTCTCATTTTCCCTCTGTGTGTGTGTGTTTCTCTCTCTGGTCAAATTAAAATAAATGAATGAATAAATAAATAAATATTAAAAAAAGAAATTTTACTCTAGTAGAAGTGTGGACATTAGAGGAAGGCAAAGAGACAAGTCAGGAGATTGATAATTATGATGAAACATGAGAGTCTGAATCAGGGCAGTGGCTGAGGGAGTCAATAAGGGAAGATAGATTCAAAAGCAATTTAGGGTGTAGAATCTGCAGAACTTCATGACTAATTAAATGTGTGATGAGGTTAAGGGGGGCAAGGTATCTAGTATGACTCTCAGGACCCTCCAAATGCTTTATATTCTCCAAAATGCTTTGCTTGTATCTTGGCAGTTTTGGGGCTGGAATCACAGGGATATATTGAGCTAGATAGTTCTTGTTTCTCTGTTTCTGGCAGTGGTAAAGTAGGTTGGGTTACTTCCCCACAAGTTCTTAAATAAAAAGTGCAGGGTTAGTTGGATGATCCCATGACCTCTACCTGTTTCTGGGAGGCTGTTGAAAGGAACAATTGTCTTACTCTGTTTTTGTGTTGCTAACGGAAAAATCTCATTCTATAAAGAAATAAGGGTTTGGGACCAGCAGTTAGCATAATGGCTATGTCGCTGGACTCCCACGTAGTTGACCGCGATTCGAGTCCCGGACCCAGTGGCTTAAACTCATGCCAGGCACGTGTGCGTTCATGCCCAAGATCCCGAGAGGAGAATGGAGGAGAAGGGATTGCGGTGTGGCCATCCCCCCTGGGGCGGGGGTGATTTCTCACTTTCTGTCTCTCTGTCTCTCTGTCTTTCTGGCGAGCGTACGTGCCCTCTAGCAAAAATACTTCTCCAAAGGGTTTATTAACTCACAGGCAACTGGAATGTCTGAAGGTATAGGCCTGGAATCAGGCTATACATAGCTGAAGGAAGCACAGAGGATGGAGGACAGATGCAGAGAGAGAAGGTGAGCTTCTGACAGCTTTCTCTCTTTTTTTTTTCTTGGTCAGAGGGTACATGTGCTTGCCAGAAAGAGAGAAAGAAGAAAGCACCCTCCAGTGGGGCGTGATCATGCCTTCTCCATCTCTCCATCCTCCTGGGATTTGGGGCATGTACACACACATGCTCAGCATGTTTTTCAAGCCATTCATTGGGACTCAAACTGTAATCAGCCAAGTGGAATCCAGCTGTGATGGCTCAGCCCTCTTTTATAACAACCACTGTCTCAAGAACTAACCTCACCAGAACTAGAACTGACTAGGTCTCATGAGACATCATTATTCTAGTCATGAGACTGTTGCCTCCATAATACAATCATCATAATATAATCACCTGCCACCAGACCTCATTACCTTCCAACATCAGATTTCACAACATGAAACTGGGGGACAAACCATGATCTAAGCTATAACATTCTGTTCCAGCCCCCAAGGTTCATGATTTTCTTACATATCAAATACAGTCATCCCCTGGGACCAGCAGATGGCATGATGGTTACGTCACTGGACTCCCACGTAGTTGACCGTGGTTCGAGTCCACATCTCCTGGCTTAAAACTCATGCCTGGTGCATGTTCATGTGTGTGCAAAATCCTAAGAGAAGAATGGAAGAGAAGGGATTGGGGCATGGCCTTCCTCCCATTCAGGATGATTTTTCACTTTCTGTCTCTCTGTCTCTCTGGCAAGTGCACGTGCTCAATAGCAAAAATCTCTCTTAAAAAAAAAAAGTTGTCCCATTCCATTAGTCCCAAAAGTCCTAATTTGTTCCAGCACCAACTCAAAAGTCCAAATCCAAAGTCTCATTTGAAATGTAAGACAAAAATTCCTGTTGGCAGGGACCAGCAGTTGGCATAATGGCTATGTCGCTGGACTCCCATGTAGTCAACCGTGGTTTGAGTCCTGGACCTGGTGGCTTAAACTCACGCCAGGTGAGTGTGCGTGCGTGCCCAAGATCCTGAGAGGAGAATGGAGGAGAAGGGATTGCTGCGTGGCCATCCCCCCGGGGGATGATTTCTTGCTTTCTGTCTCTCTGTCTTTCTGGTGAGTACATGCACCCTATAGCAAAAACCTCTCAAAAAATTGTTTTTCTTTTGGCCATGAGCTTGTAACATTGAAACAAACAATATACTTCCATAATACAGTTTTGGAGTAGGGATAGGGTAGAAATTTCCATTCCACCCAAAGAGAGTAACATGCAAATGTGAAACCCAGTGGACAAACATTTGATCCTGGAATTCCATCTCCTGGACACACTGAGGAGATTGAATCCCCAAAACATCAGGTATCCTTGTCCTCTTGGCCTGGGCTCAGTCACGGTTCAGCTGTCTTCCGTTGGAGTGTATGTCTGTAGTTCTTTCCAGCTGATGCTACACAGTGCAAGCTCCGCAATTCTAGGGTCTCAAGGGTGATCCAACCCCTATAGCTCTATGAGACCCAATTCTCCTGGTTACTCTCTCCTCTGATCCCACACTTTCACTCAGTTTTGTCCTAATTGAAGTTCTCTTTGGTGGTTCTGCCCTGTGGCAAGTCTCTGCCTAAACTCCAGGTTTTTCTGTGTAGTTTTTGAATCTGGGAGGAAGCTGCCATGCTCTCATACCTCTTGTGTTCTGCACTCCCACAGGACTAGTAGTCTACGTGTAGCTCCACAGGACTAGTGCAGATGCTGCTGCCACACTAAGGCCTGTAGATTGCTCCCTCTAGATTAGCAGCCACATCCAGGGCTGCTTGACTCTTGGTTGGAGCAACTGGGCACTGAACCTGGATGTGGGGTACCCCAGACTGGGAGGGGTGGCATGTCTGCCCTGAAGAACCATTTTGGCCTCTCAGGCCTCAGAGCTTATGATTGGTAGGGCAGCCCAGAAGTTCTCTAAAATACTCTAGGGACATTGTTTCATTTTCTGACAATCCCTTCTAGTTCTGATCATTTCTTTAGCAACATGTCTCTTAGCCACACTTTCCTCTGCCAAACATGCTTTTCTCGTTCTTTGTCCAGGTTGCAGATTTTCCATATTTTCTGCTCTGCTTCCTTTTTTAAAAAAGAATTAAAAAAATTTTTTTTTTTTTTTTGCTATAGGGCACATGTACTCACCAAAGAGAGAGAAAGAGAGGAAAAGTGAGAACTCACCCACCCGGGAGGTGGCCATGCCACAGTCCTTTCTCCTCTCAGGATTTTGAGCATGCACACAACATGCCCAGGGTGATTTTCAAGCCACTGGATCCGGGACTCAAACTGCAGAGTCAGCACTGAGGTAAATGTTATATAATATGAAATTAACCATTATAAAGTGTACAGTTCAGTGGTGTTTAATACATTAATGATGTTTGACATTGTCATCTTGATCTAGTTCCAGCTAATCTGAGTTTTGAAGAGTGACTAGGAGTTTGCTAGATGAAGAACAAGTTGGGAAAAAAAATATGTTAGATATGAGAACAGCATGTTTGAAGATATGCAGACCAGAGTATCATGACTGGAATAAACGCAGATGGGGGAAGGGGAGAAAACAAGGCTAGAGAGGGCCCAACAATAAGGTGTCCAAATTTTTACTTTATTTCAAAAGGTATGGGTAGTCCTTCAAGGATGCTAGAGTGATGCTTGACAAGGTCAAATTTTGCCTTTTAAAAAGATTCCTCTGGCTGGGACCAGCAGTTAGCGTAATGGCTATGTGGTTGAACTCCCATGTAGTTGACCACGGTTCGAGTGCTGGGCCCGGTGACTTCAACTCATGCCGGGTGTGTGTGCGTGCGTGCCCAAGATCCTGTGAGGAGAATGGAGGAGAAGGGATTGTGGTGTGGCCATCTCCACTGGGGGAGTGATTTCTCACTGTCTCTCTGTCTCTCTCTGTCTTTCTGGCAAGTGCACACGCCCTATAGCAAAAAAAACTCTCAAAAAAAAAAAAAGATTCCTCTGGCAGTAGTATTACAGATGCTTTATATAGGGGTGACTCTGAGAGATGCACTGGGAGATTTTCTGTCATAATCCAAATATGCAGTAATGAAAGGGTAATGATAGTGGGAGTGGAAGAACTGAAAACAAGAACAATAAGTCATGTAAACAAAATTTATGTGGCTTGATGACTGACTGGACATCAGATCAGAGGGAGAAGTACAAGATGATTTCCATCATGCTGCCTTGGGAGACTGGGATCATGATGTGGCATTCAAGGGTGAAATTTTTGGGAAAATTAATACAGGTTGGGCAGGTTGAGAGATTCAAATAAGTGAAGGGTTTTGGAGTCAGTGTAATATATACATCTGGACCTCATCAGAGAAAGATGAAAATCTTTCTGAAGGTAAACAAAGTCATGAGTTTGGATAAAGTCAGTCAGAAAAAAACACAGAGAATGAGGGACCAGCAGTTAGCATAATGGCTATGTCGCTGGACTCCCATGTAGTCGACTGCAGTTTGCATCCTGGACCTGGTGGCTTAAAACTCACGCCGGGCGCGTGTGCGTGCGTGCCCAAGATCCCGAGAGGAGAATGGAGGAGAGGGGATTGTGGCATGGCCATCCCCCCTGGGGGCTGATTTCTTGCTTTCTGTCTCTCTGTCTCTGTCTGTCTGGTGAGTGCATGTGCCCTATAGCAAAAACCTTAAAAAAAAAAAAAAAAGAAAAAGAAAAAAACACAGGGAATGATGAGCAGAGAACCTGGGACTGGGCTTTAGGAGCGAATATTTAGGGCATACAAAGAAAACAGAGCTGTGTGGTTAAAATGTGACTATACTGAAATCAAGGTAGAGTTTAGTAAGAGAAGGAAAAAAAAAAGTGGAGTGGAGCTGAAAAAGAAGAGAAAGGGGGAAAAAGAAGAAATAATAGTCTAATTTGAGGGGGAGGCTGGTGGGAGCCTACAGACCAACGATATCACTGTGGCCCTAACAGATACACAAATCTCTTCACTCCAAAGTAAGAAATTTATTGTTCCATAAACTTCTGAGAAATAATTTTCCAAGTACATACAATTTTTTTTCTCAAAATAATTTTACAAAGTGAAGGCAAATGCTCAACAACTGTGGCTTGCATCCCTTTATGAAAAGATGTTTTAACGAATCTCTTACAGTTTACCCCTCCCTGTTCTGAGGCCTGAATAGGTGTCAGTTCTTGGGTCAAAGGGGTCAAAGGAAGGGGAAGAAGGCAAAACCTTCAGTTGTCCAATCTAATCAGGAACTGCTGCCTTTTTGTTTGTTTGTTTGTTTTCCATTTGGTCCAGAAACTCCTTCAGTTTAAGAACTCTTCACAGCTGCCTCCTTGGTTTGTTACCCAGGGCCGAGAAGAGACTCACTCTGAATCTCCCAGATAAACCCAGGAAGGGTGCCTGGGTCAGAATACGCGTGGGGTTCTTGGAAAGTTTATGGTTGCTCTTGTTTGGGGAAATAGAGCCCAAAGTATGATTCTTAGGTCTTATTTCTTTTCCCTTACCCACACTGTCTCTTTTCACTCCTTACTTGCGCCTTTGCTTTATCTGGGAGGAAAACTTGGAAGGGATGGAAGAGGAGAAGCAAGAAGTTGCATTTTCTTGAAATGTTGCCACTCTGGCAGGTAGTCTGGATGCTCTCTCCTACTTTTCCTTGTCTTACTTGGGCACAGCCTGCCGGGGAACGAAGAGACTGAGCCCCTATGGTGACAGCAGAGGGGCAGGTTTATGCTGATTGCCCAGGGACCCTAGTCCCTGTTTAATAAATTACGTAAATACAAGGGAGAAAGAGCAATGATGGACTCCTTTGGGATTTCCCTAAAGACTTCTACTTTTTAAAAGGAAAGCTAGTTTTTTTGAGCGCCTTGGTCGTCTTGCCAGATGTGATGAGGGCCCCAAAGCCTTGTTTGTGGGAGAATGCATAGGCAGATCGTCGAGCACTTGCATGCTTCAGCTTAGCCTGGATGGGGAGTGGCTGTGGATGTTTCATGCAATGAATTCTGTCAAAAATCTATAACCAGAACATAGGGGACAGAGTTTCCATTCATACAGGCAAAAGCAAAAAGAGTTATGAATTCTATCTGGGTAGATTATTTGTTTTGCTCACCTTGTCCACGCTGATGGGCCAGCATAGCGGTTTGAGAAACTGGTGCCCTATCACAGGCAAAACACAGAAGATTATGCTGAGGATAATGCTCAGCCACATCTGTGGCTGGTTCATAGTGTTCCTGGCTACACCTGTAAACAACGAGATAAGAGCAGACAACCTGAGACAGTATCTGCAGGTGGGGCCACGGGTGGGCGGTGTCAGCCAAAATTAGAAACTTCTCCAGTCAGAAGGACGAAGTTACTAATTTAAAGACAGTCTAGTCTGCTGAGAAATGATATAAATGCAAAAGAAATGGCAATTGCAGGGGGCGGGGGCAGTAGGTGGCGTGGTGGTTAAGGGTGCTAGACTCCCGCATGGCCGTCCACGGTTCAAGTCTTGGATCTGGTGGCTTGCTTTCTCACGTTCCCTCTCTCACTCTGTCCTTCTTTGGTCAAGTAAATAAATAAATACATAAATAAATAAAGTTAAAATAATATTTTTTTTGGAGAGGTTTTCGCTATAGGGTGCGTGCGCTCGCCAGACAGACAGAGACAGACAGAGAGAGACAGAGAGATAGAAAGCGAGAAATCACCCCTCAGGGGGGATGGTCATGCCGCAATCCCTTCTCCTCCATTCTCCTCTTGGGATCTTGGGCATGCACGCACACGCGCCCGGCGTGAGTTTTAAGCCACCGGGTCCGGGACGCGAACCATGGTCAACTACGTGGGAGTCCAGCAACATAGCCATTATGCTAAATACTGGTTCCCAAAATAATTCTTTTTTAAAAGAAGAATTAGAAATTGAGTCCACTGTGCACTGAAGTCACCGTGTATTCATGTATCTTTGTCTCCCCCTAATGGCAGGGCAAGGCATCAGGAGAGTGGGGGCAGGTTATGAGGGAATCCTAGAGTACTAGCCTGAATACTAAAAAAAAGATAGAAAGCTTTGAAGGAGAAAACATGAGTTAGTGGCTGACCAGGGGTGGGAGCCAACCATATCTACTAAGCTATTCTCTATGTATCTTGTCCTCATCAAAGTGGAGATGAGAAAAGGAAATTAATACGGAAGACAATAGGGCACTATGCCATAGTGTAAAGGACAGTGGACTGGAACCAGGAGACCTGACTTGAGTCATTTAACTAAAAATATTCCAGTCTCTAAATGGTGCCAACAATCTTGCTCTGCCTACCTCACAGAATGTTTGTAAAGATCAAGTTAAATAAGAAATTTGAAAGTGTTTAATAAGGTACAATATTTCCCAGTTAGACTTTGAGTCTTTGTAGAGCTGAGACCACATCTTTTTTTAATTTTATTTTCAAATTTTGCCAAAGGGTATGTGTACTTTCCAGAGATTGAGAGAGAGAGAAAGAAAGAAACACCCTCTTCCCCCCATGGGGGATAGTCACACCTCAATCTTTTCTCCTCCATCTCTCCCTCCTGTCTGAATTTTGGGCATGTACATGGGTCTGGGACTCGAATCACACGGCTGGCCATGTGAGATCTTGTTGCCTTAGCCACCACACCAGCAGCTGGCTCTAGAGATCATGTCTTATTCATATCTTTAGCCATAGAGCCTTGCACATAGTAATAGCTTCTCAGTAAATATCTACTAAATGAATCTATTTGGTTCACTGCCTCCCCAATTCCCCCCTAGCCTCCCATACTGGGCAAGGCCTTACCTAGGAACTGGAAGATGTTGGGGAATACTAGGCACAAGCCATCACTGTACAGGAGGAATAAGATGCAAAAGTAGAAAGTCAGGCTACCCCAGATAAAGAAGTGGCTTATCACCGTCCAGTAGGTTATCTTCAAGGCAATCTGAAAAGCACCTTCTTATGTGTAATACTCTATAGCTGGGACCTATCAGCCACCTCCCTTCTCCACTTCTGTAATGGAGGATGCTCCCTCCCCAACCTCCCTCCCTACCTCCCTCCCTCTTTTCCAGACAGTCTCCCCACCCAGTCCCCTTACCCCTACCACCACTGGCCACACCTGCATTGTGACCACTGAGATCAAGGAGGTCTGCACTATCAGAGAGAAGGACTGGTAGTCGGAGATGTCCTTCCCATCACCACGCTCTGAGTTGTAAATGATCGCCATGGGGACAAAGAACAGCACGAAGGAACTGTAGATCCCATGCATTAAACACTTCACAAATTCTTTCTTGTTGAAATAGAGGTTGTGCTGGCCTGGTTCATAAAGCTCTGGGAAACGAAGGCTCCATGTTTCATTCACATCCTGGAAGCACCAGAAGGAAGGAGGCTCAGGGTTTCTCCTCAGATGATCCCATCTTTATCAGATTAGAGGCTTCTCCCCTCACGGAATCTGCTGCCAGTGTGCCTAGAAGCTTCCTCATGGATTACTTGAGAAGCAGAACCAGAGAACAGAGCAGTGACCACAGACCTTCCTGATGTACTATTCTCTGGGTAGTGGAAGAAAACTAGGGGAAGGTCAAAAGAAAGCTAGGAATGACTTGGAGGTAGTTAGGACTGGGGAGTTATGAAAGGGAGTGATTAGGCTTGGGCATAGCTGAAAGGGAGGACTAGAGCTTGGGATGGGGGAGGCAGTTGAGACATGCATCTCCAGGTTTAAATGCTCCTTTAGGTGAATATTCTCTGTCAAAAGTCAGTGGGGGCAGAAGGAGAAGCCAATGGGAACCCATTAGCCTCTTAGAGGTATGCATGGTCTGTAATGTCTCTCTCTCTCTTTTTTTTTTTGGGGGGGGGGAGGGTTTTGCTACCATTTTTTTGTTTTTGGGGGGGGGGGAGGTTTTTGCTACAGGGCACGTGCACTCGCCAGTCAGACAGAGACATAGTAGAGACAGAAAGTGAGAAATCACCCCCCAGAGGGGATGGCTACGCCACAATCCCTTCTCCTCCATTCTCCTCTCGGGAACTTGGGCACGCACATACACACGCCTGGCGTGAGTTTTAAGCCACTGGGTCCGGGACATGAACTGTGGTCAACTACATGGGAGTCCAACGACATAGCCATTACACTAACTGCTGGTTCCTCTCTCTCATTCTTATAGCACTGGTGAACTCAAGGTGAATGGGCTCTCTATGTGGATGACATTGGATTTTCTTCATCACCTAATTCTGAAACTTTGGATAACAAACTTAGGGGTTGGCTTCAGAGGTGGATCCTGAGTTAGACCCCTTAATCTGGATTGTTGAGTTACACGGCCCATTCTTCTTGCTGTTCTGAGGTTGGCAGCTACCTTTAGAATTTCCTTTAGAGCCACTACCCTGATAGAAATCAGGAACTATGATCTCATGATGTCCTGTTTCAGCTACTTTATTCCTCTCCGGAGGCTCCTTTTCTACGCCATGTGCCTAGGACTAGGAATTGAAGTAGTAAAGGGAGAGGTGGAGTATTAAGACCCTCAACATTCAGGGAATTTCTTATAGGAATAGAAGATATCCCCTATGCTGTCTCCCTATGACATAAGGTATCTTACTCTACTCCCCTGCCTGGCCTTCAGGACAACCACTGTCTTCCTGCTTTGACTTATCTCATCTTCTTTTTATCCCTGAATGGGATCTCTCCTTTCTTTAAGTCCAGTCCTGCCCCAATAGCTCTTTCTTTTTGCTACTTTTGTATACATTCAATTTACTATGCAGTACAATTTCTATGTTTCCGTGAAGATAAAATTGACATAGAAAAACTCAGATTTCTAAAATTGATGATTATTCTCTGTGAAGGAAGAATTCTTTACATTATCTTATGATACTTATCCAAGTGATAAACTCCCTCCCCTGCTCTAGAAATTGTTCACTTTACACTTGGTTTTGTTGAGTTCAGCTCTTTCTGTCTTCTTTACTCTTGAGAATACTCAAGGACCCAGGGGCTTCAGTCCTGACTTGGAAGCTTGACACTGGGTCTTACCTGATCAAACAGACTCATGCCCAGGACAGGGAGAGAGGTGTAGATCATATTGTAACAGGCGATAAACCAGTTATCATAAACTGTCTGGAAGAATAGCAAGGATATTTTTGTTAGATTCTTCTCTTTTCCAAAGTCCCAGCTCCACCTCCAGGTCCAAGATAGCACCCTAACCCACTGCCTAACCTCTGTTACACTAACCTAGACCAGGATTTGTATCTTTTTCTTTTTGAGAAGTTTTTGCTATATGGCATGTGCGCTCGCCAGAGAGACAGAGACAGAGAGACAGAAAGCGAGAAATCACCCCCCCCCAGGGGGGATGGCCATGTTGCAATCCCTTCTCCTCCATTCTCCTCTCGGGATCTTGGGCACGCATGCACATGCGCCCGGCATGAGTTTTAAGCCACTGGGTCCGGTTCACAAACTGTGGTCGACTACGTGGGAGTCCAGTGACATAGCCATTATGCTAACTGCTGGCCCCCAGGATTTGTATCTAAGAATTCTTCCTGAGAAGGCTGACTCCCCAATAGCTATTTGATCCTACTCTATTTAGAATCCTGGATCCCGGGCTGGGGCAAAGTGACAAGTTTTCAAGATCAATCTAAACCAACCTTACTATAATCTGTATTGCCTCTCCCTGTACAGAAAGGATCCAAGTGACTACTGAGAGTGCTCGTTGTACTCCTGCATTCCCAGGCATTCTCAGTAGTCACTGGGCTATTTTCTTTATCTGTTTGATGACATTCATCCACAGTAGTGGACAGCTCCTAACATCGGCAATCAGAATAAAGCCCATGACCCATTCCCAGCTGGGTATTCACACTGGTGCCTAGAGAGGAACCCTCACCTTACTAGCCACAAGAGGTCAGTAGTAACTCATACATAGATACACACACATCTCACAAACCATAAACCAGCTTCACCCATAAACCAGACTTATGCTAGGACCTGGGAGTGTCCAGGTATACTGCTATATGCAGATTGGTGTGTTTTCTCTGAAGGCAACAGCAAAAGAACCTCCCAAGATAATCATTCCTGAGGTTATTTCTCTCAGGAATTCTTGAGAGACTCCTGAAAAAACTTCTCATAGGAAAAGGACCTCTCTTAGAACATCAAAATTCATGTTTCACTTCTCCCTACTAGGCTGCGGAGATATTCAACAGAGCAACAACTGTGTGTGTGTTGGAGACAGACACTCAGTAGTCAAAGTGGGGAAGGAGAAGTAGAGGGAAGCTGTATGTCTAAGTATGGCTCCAGGTGAATGCCATCATCAGCCTGCAGGCATAACCCAGAGACTCCATGAAGCTCAGCCTGTTCCATAAAGACTATTCTAGTGGCTAAGAAAACGGTCACATCCAGGAATGCGACATACATATGTTTGGAAACTAGGTCTTTGTGTCAGGGAAAAAGGTGGAAACAGTTTATGGAAAAGTTCTGAAGTAGGAGTCAGGTTAAATCAGAGCCAGGCCAAAATATTGATAATTATGGTTTGGACATCTAAGCTTAGTGTAAGGTTGGGACATTGATGGAGTCAGCGTGTGTGAAGAGCTATATGAATAAATGGCAGCATGTCATAATCCATCTCTAGAGGAGAAAAAAGGTCTGAGCTGGCTGAATAAAGGGGTGACTAAAGACCCAGTTGACCAGAGTGGAGATTGCCACCTGATGTCCTACCTGTGCAGAGAAGCCATTGAAGAAGGCATACCAGAAGTGTACTATGGTGAAGGCAAAGTTCTTGTAAAAGAAGTAGCTGAGAAACTTGCACATGCGATTATAAGACCAACGGCCATGAACCAAGAGTAGACGCTGAAGATAGCAGAACTGGCAGAAGGCGAAGTCACTGTTGAGCATGGCCTGCATCCCCTCCTGGCCGCTGATGCCAACCCCAATGTGGGCAACTGCAATGAAACCCCAGAAATTTCTCAGTCACAGACCTTGTTTGCTGGGCTGCCAGCCTGGGAAGTATAAAAGGAAGACACAGATGATGTACAACCCCCTTATTTTACATGTGGAAAATATTATTAGGTCCAGCTCAGAATGGCTGTCCCTTGGTGGGGAATTTTCTCCTTAATGGGTAACCCTTCCCCTGGAGGTTGGAAAATAGCACCTTCTGCCCATTGTTTTGGATCTGTCACTCAAGAATGTCTGGCATGGCTAGTACTGGAAAGCTGCCCTGAATGTTCTCTGCCCCTACGCTAGCCATCTGAGTTCTTTCCTACTGTCCAAGTGCTGAGATGAAAATTTTTTGTTATCTTTGGAAATTAAGTTTATCTAAGCACAGTCCAAGTATTATTAGAAGTATGTCAGTGAGAAAAAAGTTATTCTTGTACGGTGACCTTTTCTGACTAAAGCAAGGTTTATATGTGATGGAAGATAACACTGAAGTTCCAAAAAGCTCTAATTAGTCTGGTAATTTACTATTCTTCTGGCCAAATTCACTGATCTTCTACTATGTATATACCTATTGCATTGCATAATGGGATTATTGAAACCTCTAAAGCCTTGAAACCCAGAGACATTCTAGAAACTGGGGAAGAGATCAAGAACATTTCCTAGTATTGAAGCTGAGGCTGGAATGTCTGCTAGCGTTTCCTGTATGGGGAGGAGAGGTTGGATTAGAAGACCTACGCATTGCTGAAAGCTAAGAGAATTCACCTGAAATTAAAACCAGTAAATTTCAACTACTTGCTTCTATAGGTCCCAAATAAGTCACTAAGTTACCTATTCTCTTCCAGCCAGGGGAGCCAAAGCAGGCTCTTAGGAACATAGCCTAGGAGTGTGTACTTACATTCATAGTGTAAGTGCATGTGTCTGAATGTGTATGTGTGCCTGTGAAAACGTGCCGATTCTGCATGTGTAAGTAGGTAAGGGTGCAGGTGTAGAGAAGCTTGAATGGAGCTGCAAAGCAGTATAGATGTATAATGCATATAATAGGCAGGGGTGCAAGCCAGACCACAGTACCACTCACATCAGTTTTGCCCACTGAGGAAGGAAAGGGCAAGCCATGGCTGGGGTCTACTGCCCTCCTTCCCCTCACATGCCTTTGATCATGCTGACGTCATTGGCTCCATCTCCGATGGCTAGTGTCACCACCTTCTTGTACCTCTTCACTAGCTCTACCACCTGGGCCTTCTGAAGGGGTGTCATCCGGCAGCAGACCACCCCCTTGCACATGCATGCCGTTCGCAGCAGTTCCAACTCCAGGTTCCCTTCTAGAGCACAGGCCTGCAGCACCAAGACACACCTGCTCTTTAGGTTGCCAGGAAAGGCTCTTGGGGCAGGATCTTCCCAGGCCATTCCCCTTCCCTCCATACTCTCCTGTCCATCACAGGGCAGGCAGAGCTAGCTGCTCCTGAGGTGCCTCACCCCAAGGGAGGTCAAGCCTCTGAGTCAGTTCTAGGCATCCTCACATCTGATGCAGCCTCCAATGGGATATTGGTTAGGGCCAGTCACTGGATCAAGTCAGTTGATGGGGCTATCAGGACAAGTAAGTTGGAGGTCCTGGTTCTGTGCACTTTGTCCCTTCCTTGAAGTGACAGGCCATGTCAGTAGTAAAGAATTTGGATAAAGGAAGGAGTATGGCCTTGGATTTTTTTCTTCTCATTTATTCCTGCCTAGAAAAGCCTGGGGAAAGGTGTCTTTCAGGCAAAGTTATTTGAAGGGGAAATAGAATGACTCATAGACTAAGGAAGGAATCTTGAAATTTCTCTGAAGTAGATTGGACCCAGAAAGAAAACCCCTTAGAAGAAAACAGAGTTGTAGCTCTGTGTTGCCCACCAGACTGTAGCCATTGATGACCAAGCCATAGTTGCCATTGGGCACCTCCTCAGGTAATTTGAAGGACATGTTGGGCTTCATGGTGACGTAAGTGTTTACTGAGTCTGATTCCAGTAGAGACTCAGGTTTCATCTTGTTCCTTGCTGTCCTGAAAGTTAAGAGTAGTGGTCAGAGTCTTATCTGAAATCCCAAAGTTTAGGAAGGAAATATGTCCCAGGTTCAATGTGGGCAAGAGGGGCACAGGACCTCTACAAAATACCAGCCAAAACCTAAGACTCAACTGCCTCCTGAGGCCTGCCACTGCCTTATATCCCTGGTCATCCACACTCCATACTTCTCTATCCCTCATACTCCAACTGCTTTAACCCAAAGGCTTTTTTATAAAATTCTCTCAAATATTTTAGATTTTTTTTTTGAGAGTTTTTTTTTGCTATAGGGCACGTGCGCTCGCCAGACAGACAGAGACATAGAGACAGAAAGCGAGAAATCACCCCCCAGGGGGGATGGTCACACCGCAATCCCTTCTCCTCCATTCTCCTCTCAGGATCTTGGGCACGCACGCACACGCGCCCGGCGTGAGTTTTAAGCCACTGGGTCTGGGATGCGAACCACGGTCGACTACGTGGGAGCCCAGCGACACAGCCATTATGCTAACTGCTGGTTCCCAATATTTTAGTTTTTTTGTTTTCCCTTTCTCCATGTCTTTACTGTTCCTTTTGGTAGTATTAGGGCCACACTGGAAGAACAGATGGGTGGGCAATCTTGGGTCCAAGGATTGGTTGTGACCACTCTCATCCTTACCTGAGTTCTTTCTGAATAGTCTCCACATCTTTGCCTTCGACCACAAATACTCCATCCATTTCATCCTCAAATATATGAGAGGAGTATGCAATGTTCACAGCAGTCTCTACAGGAAATGGAAAACACAGGGTCTCATCTTGGCTGGTCTTTATAGACAGGACAGGACTCTATAGTTTATAGGTACCTAGATTCTCACAGTGGATTGCAGAGCCCATTTGTCCACATTTGCCACAGATGTAGTCAAAGCGTATTTTTCATGAGCCAGTGGAGACCATATTCAAACATCTGTCTACCTGGTACAGACTTGCAAGTTATTTATCAATAAGCAGGATAATTCTGACTTAGCTTTGTCTAGAAAGTTTATCCCTATTTCTTAAAGCAATTCCTGTCTCTATTCACTTCCCCAGGCAATCAGGATGCATTTCTTTCTACGCTAGATTTTGTGGGAGACTGAGACGTGTTTATGTTTTAGTCTTCCCTTATACCAAGAAATTTGAAATTTGGAATACATTTATACTAAGAAAAAAATACTTTAAAAAATTAGGTCCTGAACCCTGTTTATAGATGGTATCAGAATTCAGAGGAGAGATAGCAATTGTCAAAAACTTTTAAGGAGTTTTATACATTTTATACATTCTGAAGGATATATAAAACTGGTTAGGGGAAGGAAAAGGCATTTCTTTCTTTTTTTTTTAAAGTTTTTTTTTGCCATAGGGCACATGGGCTCCCAGAGAGAAACAGAGATAGAGAGACAGAAAGTGAGATATAACTCCTCCAGGGGCAATGACCACACCATGATCCCTTCTTTTGTTCTCTTGGAATTTTGGGCATGCATGCATACATGCCCAGCATGATTTTCAAGCCACTGGATCTGGGACTTGAACCACAACAGATTATCAAGGTCTCAAAGGCCAGATAGAGGAGTCTGACCTTTACAGTATGGAGTCACTGTAGGCCCTTGAGCAGAGGAGTAACATCATAAAATCAATATGTTTAAGAAAGATTAAATTTATGGTTATATGAAGGCTATGTTGAAATGAATAAGGGCAAGGGATAGATCAAAGTTTTTGCAGAAGTACAGCCAACAGAGATGAAGGCTGAAGCAGCGTGGTAGCACAATCAGAACTTTCAGATTAATTAGTGGGACATGGTGTGAGAGTGAGGTTTTAGAACAAGAGAGAGGCTACGGTAAAAGACAGCTTTGAGGGAACCAGCAGTTAGCGTAATGGCTATGTCACTGGACTCCCATGTAGTTGACCGCGGTTCGCGTCCCGGACCCGGTGGCTTAGAACTCACGCCGGGCGCATGTGCGTGTGAGCCCAAGATCCCGAGAGGAGAATGGAGGAGAAGGGATTGCGGCGTGACCATCCCCCCTGGGGGGTGATTTCTCGCTTTCTGTCTCTCTGTC